AGACTTTCAGGACTTGAACCAAATCAGGCTTCAGTGTCTAAATAATTTAAATCTTTTTTTTTTTTTTTGTTCATCAAACCTTTCCATTTTCTAGGACTTTGTAGAGGCATTGACTCATTTTGTTAGTTTATGCATTCTGCAGTGCTGAAGGGACAGCTTTAATTCAACATTTGAATTTGAGTTGGTGTAAAGATGCAACCGCCCAAGGAAATTGTTCACACACTTTAACTATATACCCAAATGAGTTTAATGAATCACTTTTAATGGGGAGTGGTACTGTATTGCTACCTTCCATTTGTTTTCTCATATCCAAATGCAAGTCATTAACTAGGCTATTGGTCTTGAAGACAACTGAGACAGGTTCAAGGCCCTCAGCAACACCCAGACAAAGAAATGTGGAAGAAATAAGAAAGGGAGGTAGAGACTGAGAGTTGTAGTCCACTGGTGCATAAATCCAGGTGCATGATTTATCCCATGCATGCTCCGCAGCTTCTGGAACTGAATTAGTCCTTACCACTGAGACACCAAGACTTCACCATTCATTTACCTGACGTACCACAGTCTAGCAGCGCTGCCCTCTCGAGAACACACACACACACACACAGACAAACGCATGAGCACCATCACATGCATAAACCTCCACACAAACTTGTACATGCACATTTCAGCATCATTAGGTTCAGTTTATATACAGCCTGTAGCACCGGGAGTGGAGCAAATCATGCCTAAGCCCTGTTGGTGAGAGTGGAGCATAACATCCCCAACCTCATCACACTTTCTGCCCCCTTTTTGCTAAAGCTCCAACACTATTTTATTGGCAAATACTAGAACACTGTAGCTGCTACTACCACAACACTGAGTTATAGATGAACAAAATAAAAGCATTTTGTCACTATAGTTTAGTCTATGCAAAAGCCTTTTATGTGGTGTGTTGGTATGATTTGCTCTGGTAAAAAATAAATAAAGATTTACAGCTGTGGCTGTGCTATTTTATTGATTACATACAGTATTACTGTCAACTCACCTAGTGTACTCTCAGCTTCAAGCTTCTTATGTACATGAATTAACAATCTGACAATGTGAGGATGGGCCTGCTGTCATTATTAAGATAAAGGTTATGGCATACAAGTGTGTAGAAGGAAACTGAATCAAATGTTCAGTAGTAACATGTAATCAAAAAGTTTTTTGTTTTCACTGAATTCATGAAGCATCACATTTTGCCTTTAATGTTTCCTCAACACCGCGCATTAAAGTGTTGAATGCGTGATGCTATAACTGTGGGCTCAAACTCTAACTCCTCATTTCCACCGAATGTGGCTGCATTGCGTTCCGTCTGCAACATGGTCACAGGAGCTGATGCCTCCCAGTGTACAGTAGCTGATACTACATGTGTTTCATATGTGTCCTAGATGTGGATCTCCATACCACTTCGCTAAAGAAATGCCTGTGGTCTATTTTGACTGATGCCACTTATGACCAAAGTTCGACCTATCAATCTGGTAGCACTTTTCCTAAAAATAATGCTTAAAGTGAAACGTAGATGTGAAATAATTAGCCTATAAGGATGAATGTATTTTTAACAACTAAAACACAGCCACAAATCTTTGATCTGTGTTTAAAAAAAGTTAAATTAAATTACATTTAACCTTTAACTGTAGCCTATTGTCTCTAGGCAATAAACACAAAACAGACCCCCCCAAAAGAAAATAAAGAAAGACAGAAAAAAGAAACCATTTAACTACAAAGCCTATCCATTGTAGAAGTTCACAAACAAGGAAAAATAGCCTACACTAAAAAAATCTGGACCACAATGAGCAGCCACCCTATAGTGAGATACCACCCTCTAGAGCAGACAGGGCTGCATGTCATATCACCCCTATTCCAGATTGTGCACCAGGCGTGTCTTTGTGCATCCCGGTGCAACACGAGATACAACACACTGCTCTATAGCATGCTCCACTCTCCATTTATGTAATAACAAGGACTCAGTAAGATATTATTTATGCATAGATCCACTGCCTCTTCCATTACAGCCAATGAGTGTTCCCCTGTCAGTATGATTATTATGTAAGTGATTAATTCAGGTTTTCAAGTGCTGACAGCCTCATAGGTATTGTCCCCCTGGCATAGTAGTTGGTATTTCAATTATCACAGTAATTCATCAGTGTCATTGTGATTCCTCAGTAGTACATTAGTGAGGCATTAAAACATTAGTTTTTCACAAAACCAATATTGCTCTAGCCAGATTTTTACCTGTTATCCTCCTCAGTGAATCACAGTCACAAAATTAGCATCAAAATACTTGTTTTGATTGAAAGTCTCCCTTTCAGTTTGGCAGTTAAAGCGTTAAGCCATCATTGTGACGTAATGGCTGGAAGTAACTGAGGACAAAGGGTTTCTAAACAGAACCTTCATACATGAGAGTGCGGAATAGGTGGTTGTCTCTTTGGGTATTGCTGTGTGAACCTCATCCAGTGGTGATTGGGACTGAGCCAAATGTGGCTGAATAGGATGAAATAGGGCCTGATAATAGCAGTGTGTGTGTGTGTGTGTGTGTGTGTGTGTGTGTGTGTAACATTAAGTTGGCTTAAGTGCCTTAGTATCCCCACCCATCCCTTTGATCAATAGCACTGATAGATCTAAAATTATCACCACTTACACACAAGTGGACACTCACACATAACCACCAAAAAAAATTCACACTTGTGCAGAGGCACATCTTAATCATGTGCAAGCTTTAGTAGGAATAGAATTATGTGCACATATGTGTGTGTGCATTCAAGTAGATTGCTTCAATTCCATAGCTTCCAAATAAACCAAGAAACAAACAAATTGCCTCAGTTTTGCTTGTTACTGCATTCTTGGTTATTGATGGGACATGCATAGGCGAAAATTATTGGCTCTGTATTTCTTTACATAAGCAATATTTTGAATTGCACTAGTGATAAATTAAAAAGCAATATGCATGTCATATATCTAGGTAAAACTGAAAAAATTGCCACTATATATTACAAAATACACCAGAGAGATTAATGTGTTTTGGAGTATTTGCAGAAATATTAGAGATAGTAAATCAGGGTTAATGGTAGAAGGAAAACACTTCTGAATAAATAATAAGCAGCCAACAGTTATGATGCAGCACACAAAAACAACAGCTTAATTTACTTTCAACTGTAAAAGATCCATAATTGTCACTGCAACAGTGCAAAGAGAGGGAATAATTATGCAACTATTTGGGACTCAATGCAGAGTTAATACCCACGGACAAAACCTCACACATACTAAAAAACAACACTGTACCTATTTGCTTGTATGAAAATGGTGTCCATGAATGTGGATGGAGGTTCTATACCAGTTAAGCTTTATTTAATCAAGTCATCTCAACACAAGACAGTTTATTGCCACAAAACAGCCTTCTCTCACACACATTTGTACAGCTGTCTTTGTGAGGACACACATTGACATAATATATTCCCTTGCCCCTTACACTAAGTGACAATTTCAGGAATAAAATGTATTTATTTACAAAGTCAGGTTGGGAAACGTTTCGCGAATCGATGTCTGTTGTTGAAGTTTGTTGGCTTGTATCTCTGTAACGCTTTTACGTAGCATTTACCGGTTACTGATGCATTTATGGAATCTGTCAAGTGTGGCCTTTGTTTCGAGCCGTGGCTAGCGGTGTTTTGATGGATTATAGTCGGTAAAATATGACAAAATATGAATCGTATGCCTGGCACAGCGCCCCCTGGGTGACCCGAGATGTTGCTCTTTTGTGCTTTATTGCTTTTGCTGTGTTTATTGTGTAGAAAAATGGTTTATATGACGTTGTAGCCGAGGTTTCGCTGAACATTTTGATGTATACATTGTTGGGGATTGGCTATCACAACTCGCGTAGCATTCCTGTATTTTACATTAAGCCCGAGCGGACCCTGATTAGGGTCCGTTAGGGTTTATAGTTATTAAGCACCATTCAACAGCCAACCCACAAACAGGAACAGGAACAGATCAATGGCTTTGGTGGGAACACAGAACAAAGACCAAGGGCTGAATTTGAAATGACAAGATACGACCAGAAAAGTTTTTCTAGCAGAGAAGAATCCAGTTGACTGGGAAAAAACATATCCTCTCTGACTCCTCCAGTGGAGGTCAACCTCGAACAGTAGTAATAATTTAATACTTCTTAGATTTCTGTGTACTGGTTTGGTGCATCTATGTACAGTATCTTGACAGGGCTATTCTATATCTGAAAGCCTATACATTATCACCCGAGGCCTCCACCAAACAGCAGCAATGACTAGTGTGGGCCATTGACCCATTAGCTAATAACCACAAACTGTCAGATGCCCCACTCGAGTGCTTGCTATCAGTGCAGTAATGGTGGCCAGCTGGTTTGGAATAAGGGAAACAGACAATATAGCCAGAGAGAGGTCACATCCATCCAATGCAAAGGATTAAAGAGCTAATGGCAAGTTTCAATATGTTATTACACTGAATTGTTCACCTACTGTATAACCCATGAGTTCCTGACTAATGTCTAAGCCTGAGATGTTACATTTAATACAAAATTTATTAAAGGGCAAAGTTAATTAACTGATCAATATTTATGTGCACACCGCAACACTGAAAGATTTCATCCTGCACGAGCTTTTCTGTTCTGGGTTTTGTGAGGATGAAATGTAATTTTTCACATTATTATGACAAGAAAAAGCTTTTATTTTGTATTAACAGCAGTGTTATTTAATATCCTCTTATATTATCATAAAAACATTATTCTGACTAGTCACTGTAACACAAATACTGAGTCCTACATTCACTTGTACACAAAACAATAATTAACAGGGGAAATTGTTACAGAATTAGATATTTTCCAAAATAATGCATGAAAATAAAAAGGCTGTAAAATGCTGTTGTACTGTTTGCCTCCTATCTGACAGTCTGATGTCATTGCTTAAAACCCACATACACACTGCCACACAGACGTACATTTCTTGTTCACTCACCCAGATGTTGCCATCTTGGTGATATGGTTTCCAGTTCCTTCCTGTGTCGCTGTATAGGAGACGGTACCGGGTCATCCAATCAGAGCTGCTGTAGCGGCCTTGCGTTGCAATGGCACTCACTTGCTTTCTGGAACCCAGGTCCACCTGTAGCCACTGGTAATGGTCACTGTCCAGAGGTGACCATCCACCAGCACCTGCAGAAATAGTGACATTTTGTGGAAAGTCAAAGGTTGTCTTTTTATAACAGTATATTGTCTGTATCATCATTTTGAAAATGGCTTGGCTCTGTGATAAATAAATAAATGAAAAGTAACAAATAGGCAATTTATATTTTTTTTTTTCAGTACATCTCATTAACATGACTGTTGTGTACACAGGCTGAGCTGCCGCTGTTGGGGGCAGATGAGCTCTGAAGTGCCAGACAGGCACTATGATGATAATATTTTACAATGAGAATGTGTGGTTCCAAGGTTGTAACCTGTCCTATTATTAATTATCAGCATCCAACAGAGAACAGCATATACATTTGAACCAGGGTGCAAGAAAGCACTCAGCACCTAGTTTTTCAGTCATCTTTGGTAACTATTGCTGGTCTTAATGAACACATTATTATTATTATTATTAATATGAGACTAGTGTTGCACGATATACCGGTACTAGTATGGTACCGCGGTACTGAGGCATTTAAAATGGTACTATACTGCATTTGTACGGTACCGGTACTTGCAGCGCCGCCGGCTGTGCCCGCCCGCAGCGCCCGCCCGCAACAGAGGAAAACAGAGCAGGAAACAGCTTCCTCGTCCTCTGCTCACTGAGCAGCGTGGACTGGAGCAACAAACGGAGCAGGAGGAAAGCTTGGAGAGAGCAGAGACGTTGGAGAGGGAGAGGGAGAGAGGGAGAGAGCGAGAGAGAGGAGCACGGAGAGGAGAATGGCTGCTGTAACAGTCACCACCCCGCAACTTGTGGACAAACGAGGGGCGCGAAGTGCTATATGGCAGTACTTCGGCATAAAAACAAAAAAAATGTGTTTTTTCAAAACGTTAAATGTGGTTACAGCACAGTCGTTCAGTGTTTTACATACATATTTAGCCATTTAATATGTTATAAAGACTGGTAACATACCATTTAAAAACATTGGTCCTACTTAAGACAGGCTATATGTAATGAAAATATTTTTTTCTAAGTTAGAACTTCTAACTTCATACTTTTTATTTACTCACACTGACTGTTCTAAAAAAAATTTTTTTGAGTACAATAAGAAAAGCCTAGTATTTTGAATTTTATTTTGATGTCATTCTAAGATTTTCTATTAAAATAAAGTCAGTAATGACATTTTTTGCGTTCTCTTTTTTATCTGAAAAACTATCCAAAAGTATCGAAATACATTTTGGTACCGGTACCGGTACCAAAATGTTGGTATCGTGACAACACTATATGAGACTAAGAAACAAGAATAGAGAAAATGGTAAAACTTTAAGCTTATCAATATCAACTGTTTAGAACACCAAAAGAGAATACTGGTGAACTTAATTGCAAATGGACTCCAGTATGCACTGGGGTGGTTTGCAGCTGAGTGTCAGCACACCCAAGCCCCAGACTGAAGCTTTATACTCTCCTATACAGTTAAAGGTACAGTAGGTACACTAAAGTGGTGAGACATTCTACCAAGGTGAAAAATTCATTTGAAAGAAAAAAGACTGAAATCATCAAAGTAGAGCTTTTCAGTGCTGTTTTTCAGTGTTGACTGTTGGAATAGATGGCTTCTTACATAACCCACTCAGTGGCACTCAGCATCCTTGTGCTTCCCTGAAACCTCACGGCTCTGCCTTCATTGTCAGACAATGACACCCCCGCAGCTTCTGGGGTCTACCTAAGGCAGGGCCAAACTCCCCTATACCTTGCAGGGTAAATGAGCCTCAGGTTAAATGGTGTAGAAATATGAGAGCAATGCAAGTGCTGGACAGACGGGAAAGAAAATGTTGGACAGGATCCCACTGACCTGATTTCACCTGACATTATGAAAACACAATAGAGGAAAACAGAGGGATGATGCCAACACTGAGCTGTCTACCTGTTCTCGTTGTCAGAGCATCAAATGCTAATGTTTTGTCAAAGCTGCTGGCATCTTATAGATATGCACACGGTACCCTTTTGTATCTGACAAAGTTTTTAGCTGACACCAGTATTACACTAGGCAACCAGGCCATCATGCTCCATTGAATCCAATGTAAATCTATCAGCAGCAGTAGTGGATGCTGTGAGCTTTGACATTCCCACTGGAGTACCAAGGAATGACCCAGATTTTCTGACCGAATAAAATATTCAGTTGGAGGACCATGTTTACTGTTAATCCTACATTGTGGTTTAAAAAAAAAAAAAAAAAAAAAAATCAATATTCTTTGAATGAAAAGCATGGGATGTTTTTTTTAAATTGACTGAAGAGAAAATCACTGTCCTTATTCATATATATTCACCTGTTTGCCTATTGATCTTTGATATATAATGGGTGTATTTACATTTAATTAACAACGACAAATGCACAGTATATTTGCAACCTCCACATCAGGACCAGAGAAGGAAAGCAGCACCTAAAATAAATAAACAGTGAATGCCACTTTTGCTGCAGAAGGTTTTGGTACCAGTCTGCTTTGATACAATTTTAAAGTAAATGAAACTTTATGGGCTCTTTTTCCATGCCAGTGCAAAGCTGGCATAGCTTCAAATGCAGTCTTTATCCAGTTTTCTGCAGGCACAAGTGTATCTTTATTTTATTTTATTTTGCACATTGGTGTTTAGTATTTCCATGCCATGAATGAATGCATTTACTCTGAGGTGGGAGGAGAGGCGCTTAGACAGTGCAGTGGATTGTCGGTGCACTTTTTTTTTTAACCTGGAATTGTGTTTGCATGAAGACCTGCTCAGACAGACTTTAATCACAAACACAGGTGCATTGCAATTTTCCTAACAGTCTAGGCTAGGAAGTATGAGAAAAAGCCCCAAAGTGTATTTTAATGGCCACAACAACTTTTAATAAATCCACAACTGATCTGCCAGAAGTTACTGTGGATAATTTATTGTGAAATTAGAAAGATAATTTTCAAAAAGTATGTCCTCACTATGTGGCTATACATTAGAAATAATAATAACAATATGAATATGAAGAAGGTCAAACAGATGAGGTATGATGCATCATCATTTAAGGTTAATGTGCTAGATTATAAATCCAATGCAAGAAAGAAATTGTCACAGTTAAAACTGTTGAAAAAAGATTTTTAAAACTTTCAGTTAGCACTTGGAAAAGTACTTCCACGTCGTCCTTCTGAATAGCTTATTTGGGCAGACAACCTGCATCATTCCTTGATTTTCCAAAGGGAATGTCAAAGCTCAAAGTATTCATTATTGCTGCAGGTAGGTTAACATCGTCTTTTGAAAAACCTATGTATCAAATGTAGAGGCAAAAGGGTATGTGGTGCTTATCTAAGAGTTGCCGATGGCCTTGACAAAACATTAGTATTTGATGCCCTGGGAATGAAAAGGATATGGTACTGTATATAGGCTACTGTGAAAACAGTCAGACGAGAGTAATAAATACAAAAGTGCATAAAATAGTTGTAGAGACCACGCAAACAGCCAAGCCTTGACAGAATGTGACTGCAAAATGATTATCAGCAAGACTAGGGGTGGATGGACTGCAGACTGGCCATGTCTCTGTGATGGATCTTTTTTTTTTTTAAGGACAAGAATAAAGAATAGAAAATCACAGGCTGAAAGCACATGTAAAAGAGAATGACAGAAATGTTTCTGCAAACAGAAACACAGGAACAAAGAGATACAAGGGGAGACAGTAAGACCAAGACAGTACAAGGGAGTGGGAGAACAGCGCCAAGCATAGTGGAGGAGGCATGAGAAAAGATGAGTCATATAAAAAAAGAGGGTGAGACAGTTTGAGATGCACCCCCTTATATTTTATCCAATTACAGAGCCATTACACTCCAGCCCCAGCCTTGACAGATAACTAGGCCTGTATCAGTGGAAACGTCAATACTTCAAAAAACCCGCTACAGCAAAGCCATTCCCTTGGGGGGATAAGACACGATCAAAAGGAGAGGAGGTGAAGGAGGGTGAGGAATTGGGTTTGGGAGGGGGTAGGTTATAGTGATTAGTAAACAAACAACAGAAAATAAAGATTAAGAAAGCAAGCTGAGCAGATAATGACCACGGCAGTGTGACGCTTTAAAAAAGATCGGCGAATGGGGGTGTTGGAAAGAATGACTAGAAGGTGTCTGTGGGAAAAATGGAAACAAGGGAAGGTAAGAAAGATGGATGATATGAGGAGAAGAGACTGATGAGGGAGGATTGTATGGCTCTGGTAGTGGGAGGGCAGAGATGAGATAGCATGCAGATAGGATTTTTTTTTTTTAAAGGACGGAAATGGCGTGGTGTAGTTATGGTAAAGAAGGTAGATGAGCACAAAACTGAAGAGGTGAGGAGGAACAAAGCAGAATGACAAGTATGAGAGGCATTAAAGTAAAAGAGATAAATGGAAACCATTCAACACTGGGAACCAGACACCATTGACAGAGTTAGACTGCAGCTGGGTTCAAATGACATGCAACAGAAGGCAAAGATTGAAAAAGTTACAAGTAAAGTTCAGGACAATAGGAGAGAGTGAGGAAAATGAGAAGCAAGCACTTAGAATATATATGCAATATATGGGACCACTTCTGCACATGCCCCAATAATGGTAGTGCACTAACTCCAGTGATTGTGGAGTGGTGGCCAGTGAGGAAAATAAAGCAAGTGCTTGGCAAATTTTCACACACTGTAGAAGGCCAGTCATTGCTGGTTGGTGCTAATCAAATTTCAGAGCTCCAATCTTCTCTTCCCCATAGTGCTACTGTCTCAGTATAGCAAACAATATGCAGGAGTTCACACCAAATCTGTGTGCAACAGATTATAATACCATGAGAGAGGACTTTACAACTCTGGAGAGTGGCAACAATCATTTGATCCTCTGTTTCGACAATCTCAAATTAATCATTAGAATTACTGTATTACCAATACAATATAATATACCAGTGCATTGCAATGCTGGATGGTGTGTTGTGTTGAGTTAAAAGTAGAGCCAGGTTCAGGTTTCTCTGAATGACAACTTTTTCTTTGCCAAAGCCCAACCTCTTACTAAAATGAAGGA